TAGTAGTAGTAATGGTGGTAGTAGTAGTAATGGTGGTAGTAGTAGTAGTAATGGTAGTAGTAGTAGTAGTAGTAGTTAGTGGTAGTGGTAGTGGTCTTAGTCGTAGTAGTAGCAGTAGGCGTAGTAGTAGTAGCAGTAGTAGTAGGTAGTAGGTAGTAGGTAGTAGGTAGTAGTTAGTAGGTAGTAGTAGTAGTAGTCGTAGTAGTAGTAGTAGTGGTAGTAGTAGTGGTAGTAGTGGTAGTAGTGGCGGGGGTAGTGGCAGCAGGTAGCAGTGGTAGTAGTGGTAGTAGTGGTAGTAGTAGTAGTAATAGTAGTAGTAGTAGTAGGTAGTAGGTAGTAGGTAGTAGTTAGTAGTTAGTAGTTAGTAGTAGTAGTAGTAGTAGTAGTAGTAGTTAGTATTAGTAGTAGTAGTAATAGTAGTAGTAGTAGTAGTCGTGGTAGTAGTAGTAGTCGTGGTGGTGGTGGTGGTGGTCCGGTCAGCTAAGCCTCTGTAAAACTTCTACTTAGAACCTCTAGCGCATCCTAGAGACAAAAACTGCAGCCCCGTTGTTGTTTTTCCCGAGAGCGTCTGCGAAGGGTTCTTCGTAAAAAAACATCTGCAGAACTACGTATCATCTAAATCTTCACATCTTCACCTCTGCTCATGTTCACATCTGCACATCTACATCTCTGCTCATCTTCACATCTGCACATCTACATCTCTGCTCATCTTCATCTTCACATATCTACATCTCTGCTCATGTTCACATCTGCACATCTACATCTCTGCTCATCTTCACATCCTCACATCTACAGCTCACATCTTCACCTCTCGCTCTTCCCAACTTTCTCTCTTAAGGCCGGGGGCAGTGCCGCCGGAGCACCACGAAACGCAACCCTCTGCGGAGATCGTGCGTGTCGAGCGAACGAAAAGCAGGCGAGAGTGCGATTTGGTTTTGTCCGGCGCAACCCTCTGCGGAGATCGTGCGCGTCGAGTGCGCGAAATGCAGGCGAGAGTGCGATTTGTCTCTGCCGCGGGCAACCCTCTGCGGGGATCGTGCGTGTCGATGGCGCGAAATGCAGGCGAGAGTGCGATTGGGGAGCTGGAAGATGAGAACTGGCGACTTTCTAGTGCAACTTTAGTACGCGGAGCAATCTGTGGAGCTGGAAGCTGAGAACTGGCGACTTTGTAGTACAACTTTAGTACGCGGGGTATCTGGGGAGCTGGAAGATGAGATCTGGCGACTTTGTAGTGCAACTTTAGTACGCGGAGCAATCTGTGGAGCTGGAAGCTGAGAACTGGCGACTTTGTAGCGCAACTTTAGTACGCGGAGTATCTGGGGAGCTGGAAGATGAGAACTGGCGACTTTGTAGCGCAACTTTAATACGCGGAGCAATCTGTGGAGCTGGAAGCTGAGAACTGGCGACTTTGTAGTGCAACTTTAGTACGCGGAGTATCTGGGGAGCTGGAAGATGAGAACTGGCGACTTTCTAGTACAACTTTAGTACGCGGAGCAATCTGTGGAGCTGGAAGCTGAGAACTGGCGACTTTGTAGTACAACTTTAGTACGCGGGGTATCTGGGGAGCTGGAAGATGAGAACTGGCGACTTTGTAGTACAAC